GTTATTATGATCATGCAAGTCTTATATTGAAAGTTACATTTTCTTTCCTATTTAATGTCCAAATCAGGCGACTGGTCCTCCTAGCCTCGGTCGGACACAGAAAACTCTGTAAAAATACAAGTATACTACTTTCCTCCATCTTGGCATTTGACCAACGAGGTACTTCTACGACCACATTAAACAGAATCTGTTGAAGGCAGAACAACATTATTAGCATTTATTTTGCCATAAAATCCAAATGTGTGTAGACTGATGAATGTTTACCTCATTCGTTTTGATTTTCTTTGGTGGAACATCACATTTCCTGATATGAGAGAAACGTGCCATTAGAAAACAGACTCAATAAGATTACTGCATTAATTCATCACTCACTTATTTATTATAACCTAATCTAGACCACTGAAGTACATTTTACAAACCTGTCGGTCAGCAGCAAACAGAAGGAGATGCGCTTTTTCCATCTGAAGCTCCTGCGAAGCAAATGTTACATTTTGTATCATCTTTCCGAACTCGATGTATCACTGAAGTAACATTCTCTCACTCGGAGTGTTTAATGAAGAGACCGTGTGTGTTGCTAGATCATCATATGTAGTGTAAAGTGTTCAGAATAAACAGACAGGTTAAGTTTAAGGCTTTCTTTTAAATGCGTGCACAGAGATAGTGTGTTAGCAACAGTTGTTCTGTGTGAGAGGTGAGGAGGGCAAGCGTACTTCAGTAAGTCCTGTAGTCAGGAGCGTTTGTTTGGTAATGCACCATATTTCTCAAATGAGGTGAACATAAAGTCGAGGCTTTCCGAGAGAACAGCGAGCAGAGAAGAGCAGCCTGCTTGCGTTTGAGCCTCTTTCAGTTATTCCATAGCGCCACCTACAGTCAGAGGAGTGCCAAAGTATGCAAGCAAGTATGCAACTTCTTCTTCTTTGATTTGTTGATGCATACCGCCACTGACTGACCTGGAGTATGGATCAGGATATTTGCTCGTATAACCCTCTAGCTTTCAAATACGCTTTTATTACATGAAATAGCCTCAATCATACAAATCAAAACAGATTTGTGAAGAAAAAAAAAGATGTTTTTTGGGGTTCTTAGGGAAACGCTGCTATATGGCAACACTGTACAACAATGGAAAATGGTCAAAAAAGTAGTTTTTCTAAAGAATTTTTTTTTCCATTTAAATGCACATTTCTTTTAGAAATTAATACATTTTTATACTCAGAACTCATGCAAACCAAAAATAATTTACCGCCATCTGCTGGTAGTTTTAGTTTCTTCTGTAGAGCATCATTTCATTTATAAAAAAAATAATAATAATAATTAAATAAAAAAACATTAAAGGGATAGTTCACCAAAAAGAAATAAATCAATTCTGTCATTATTTACTCACCCTCATGTTGTTTCAATCCTGAATGACTCTTGTCATTCTTTTATGGAGATGCTGATTTCATTTTCCAGCAGGATTTGGCACCTGCCCACACTGCCAAAAGCACCAAAAGCTGGTTCAATGAGCATGGTGTTACTGTGCTTGATTGGCCAGCAAACTCGCCTGACCTGAACCCCTGAGAGAATCTATGGGGTATTGTCAAGAGGAAGATGAGAGACACCAGACCCAACAATGCAGATGAGCTGAAGGCCGCTATCAAAGCAACCTGGGCTTCCATACCACCTCAGCAGTGCCACAGGCTGATTGTCTCCATGCCACGCCGCACTGATGCAGTAATTCATGCAAAAGGAGGCCCAACCAAGTATTGAGTACATGTACAGTAAATGAACATACTCTCCAGAAGGCCAACAATTCACTAAAAATGTTTTTTTTTATTGGTCTTATGAAATATTCTAATTTGTTGAGATAGTGAATTGGTGGGTTTTTGTGAAATGTGAGCCAAAATCATCACAATTAAAAGAACCAAAGACTTAAACTACTTCAGTCTGTGTGCACTGAATTTATTTAATACACGAGTTTCACAATTTGAGTTGAATTACTGAAATAAATGAACTTTTCCACGACATTCTAATTTATTGAGATGCACCTGTATATACCATGTAGTCACTATACTACACTATACTTCAAGTAGAGATCCAATAGCTTTGTGTGAGAGGAAATGACTGAAATGGAACTTATTCACTAATAATCTTTTCTTCAGCTGCACCTCTAAAATCCCATATGTGTCTTAACCAAATCAACTTTTAGAGAATGACTTCATCATGTAAACACAACAAGGTGCACAGCTCCTTCCTTTATTTATTTACTTCAAATTGTTTAATCTGTGATCCTCTCCACCTCAGCAATCTGATTCTCCTTCAACTGAACAGAGACATCTACATGTGAGTGAGTCATGTTGACAGGAAAGATAGAAAAACCATAAAAGTCTGCCATACCGTAAAAGAAAAAGAAGGAAGTAAAGGAGGCACTGTATATGCACAATCAATATTTACTAAAACATGACATTTTATCAAGCAAACCATATTAACAGTAGCAGAACGTGGCATCAGCACTAGGTAAAAACAAATAAATACATTACAAAAAACGAACTATTTCATCTATTTTCCTTCAAAAGAAAGAAAGATAACACTAGAGGTAAATTGCCTTTTAGACTCATAAACTCAACAAAAAATAAATACAAAAATAGTTCCATCACCCGCTCACAAAAAAAGGAATTAATAAAACGATGCTGTGATAGCTTGTCTACTAACTGTATTTATTTATTTATAATAACACAAGTATTTAGTTAAAATAGAGAAATGGTAAGCCAGTTAAATGTGCAAAAGCATTTCACTCATTATCAGTCACCTATAGTATGAAGTTATGGAGGAAAAACAAAGACTCATTCATTGCTTGTTGTCTTGTGATGGAATGATCTAAAATGTAAAAACACTGTCAGAGAAAAAACACGTGCAACAATCTTTGTGCATATTAATATCTTAGTACCCATCTCTGAAGCTTGTAGGGTATAAGGTATAAAGTTGTCCCTAGTGACAAGCTGTTGTAACCCTAAAGGTACAATTTTTACACATATTTTCTGAGATTGCAAATTCTTACATCCTTCTTTCATTGTTGGAGACTGTAAGACCGCGCTGGACTGCCGCTTCATGGATTTTCTACCTGAGGTTTATATGAAAGTTACTTTTGTTTGCTTTTCTAAACAGAGACATGGCTGCAGGTCACGGAGAAAGTATCACATGATTGTGATCATTACATTTTCTCTCTGACGTTTTCAGTCAGCTGGCCTCAAGTGCAAATATTGTTATCTCCCTGTGCCCAAACAGAAAAGGTAAACACTTTCCTCATTATGTATATGGAAAATCATTAGTGCTAACATGCTTTCTGCCAACTTTTACCTTCCTAAAAAAGAATATTCCTAAAAAGCCATGATTTCAATTGAGCTTGTGTCAGCTTCTGAGCTCGCATCTACACATCATATCACATATATGCAATAATGCAATGCTCTTCAAAACACTTTCTTCTTTTCAGTATTCTAAATAGATCTACTACATTATCAGTTCATTTGAAAATTAGAACAGTTCTATTGGTTTCTATTCTTTATCTATATCAGTAGTCACGCAGAAGTGACACATTCTGATGCTGTTTCTCTCTGTAATGAACACATCCATCGACTCTTTCTTTATCTACATCTGAGACACATTGTTATGCAGCTCATAATTCCAGAGTAACCAGATTTCACCTGTGTGGAAGATAAGTTATGCATTCACATCTCTGTAGACGGGACACTTTTGACTGCATTTTTACTCGAGTCATTAAAGTAGTCATTAAAGTCTATTAGAGTTTTGATAGCGTCATCTGGTTGAAATCTAAGAAAGCATCTGATCTACTAAAACAATACCCACAAAAATCATATTTGAACACCCACAGTCATGTGGCATTTCACGAGGATTACACATTTGCTCTTTCTGTTGATATATAGCTACAGCAGCGATGTCGTAATGCTTTGTAAATGTTGACACGAATGGAAAACTTTACTGGCCTGTTTGATATGTCGACCTTTGTCATGCCCTTCAAAGTTAAGTCATCAGACCCTCCTTCTTGTTTAATATTAACTCTGTCTGCATCCATCCAAAACTATATTTCCAACAGGGATTATTTAGCTTCTCACATACTTATGATCAACACAGTTTGAAGGTATGCTTATTAACTGTACTTAAAGTTTCAGGTGTCGGCTTCTTTGTGGTTATGGATAGATAGATAGATAGATAGATAGATAGATAGATAGATAGATAGATAGATAGATAGATAGATAGATAGATAGATAGATAGATAGATAGATAGATAGATAGATAGATTGATAGATAGATGATGGATGGATAGATATTATGCCACCTATATTGACCTTAAGGTAGACCAGACCTCCAAAAGACCAGAATCCTTCCCCTCTGGCTCCATATCTGTGTTTCTGGTAAAGAGAGAAGTGAAGGAGGCGTGGCTCTGGCTCACCTGAGGCAGGTATCACGGAAGCAGAGGGGGAGGGTTCACCTGCATGCAGTTAGTGTGCAAAAGCACCTGTTCCGCTTCCCAGACTCTCTCTCTCTCTCTCTCTCTTTCACCTCTGCACCAGACAGAAAAAAACAAGAGGGACAGAAAGTGTCAACATGGAGCCCAACCGGGCCAGTGGGAATGACAGAGGATAGATAGATAGATAGATAGATAGATAGATAGATAGATAGATAGATAGATAGATAGATAGATAGATAGATAGATAGATAGATAGATAGATTGATAGATTGATAGATTGATAGATAGATGATGGATGGATAGATATTATGCCACCTATATTGACCTTAAGGTAGACCAGACTCCCAAAAGACCAGAATCCTTCACCTCTGGCTCCATATCTGTGTTTCTGGTAAAGAGAGAAGTGAAGGAGGCGTGGCTCTGGCTCACCTGAGGCAGGTATCACGGAAGCAGAGGGGGAGGGTTCACCTGCATGCAGTTAGTGTGCAAAAGCACCTGTTCCGCTTCCCAGACTCTCTCTCTCTCTCTCTCTCTTTCACCTCTGCACCAGACAGAAAAAAACAAGAGGGACAGAAAGTGTCAACATGGAGCCCAACCGGGCCAGTGGGAATGACAGAGAGAACGAAAAGGGGGAGAGAAAAGACAAGGATAAAGGCATTAAGAGGAGAAACAGACTTTTTATAAGATACCTGGAAAGGAGGAAGACAGACACTATTGTGGATGATGACGCTTCCAAAGGTGACATCAGCATCGCAACCTTGGTGAGAAGGAGCCATTCTGACAAGACAGAGTATAGTGCTAAACTTAAAGGTAATTTTGTGCTTTATTGCTTTTTTTGGCTCTCTTATAGTGGTTAAACAAAACACATTGTTATGCTAAAAGCAACAGGTGTTATCTAGTCACCCATTTTTTCTGTCTTCCAGTGTGTGTGTTAGCACAGAGTCAGTTTTATGCCAGTTATACTCTTGTAAAGCCTCCCATCTCATATTCCATTAGATCTTTGTATGGAGTGAAGTAAAAAAGAGGCCATGCATGTGTGCCGATGCTTAGCACCTGTTGCATTGATACGTTACAGAGAAAGATCTATTCCCACTGGACTGATGTCACATATGCAAACTGAAGCTCGCTCGCCTCACAGAGCTGCACGGCTGAGGAGGAGTCGTAAACAAGCTCGGCCACAGTGCCTGCGCTGTTTACTTGATCAGGAAGTTGCTAGTTATCAATGTTAGCTCATTCACTCGTTTTGCATTATTAGAGCATTTGACTCGATGAATGCGAAACTGTAAGAAATATACACTTGTTCATTCATTCACTTCTTGTGAACATCATGTCACAGACGATATGTCAGTGCCATCATAATCTTAACTTGACAATGACATCATTTTAGAAAAACTAGTTTAGCAGCCTTCAGTGAGCAGGGAATGAAGCCGTTCAGGACAGCCGGGTCATGACATACTATGAGGACAGTCTTGTTCTTAGTTTGCGGAGAATAGCTCTTATATAAACAAAATGAGCTGTCATTCGTTCAAATCATAGGAAGGAGAATTCTGAGACTCCACAAATGCATTTCTGAAAAGCAAACAAACCATTTTACATATTGAATTCACCTTAACAAACAGCACATGTCTGAAACGCTGACAATGGAAGGAATATGTCAGCAGCTTTAGTTTCTTTTTTTATGTATAAAACTATTAGCAATCAGACTTCAAAACTTTTCAGTTCTAGGCATATTAGTTGTAAAACGAAATACTCTTAGTTCTTAATACAGATGCAAAAGCACAGTTCATTTTGTAATTTCATTAATAAAATTGAGACATCTATTCTTGTTTTAGACCCACTGACAGCCGGCTTTATGTCATATGGCACATTTCAAGTCAAATATGATGACATCATTGAGGAAATGTTGATGCTTGAACAGGAAGTGCTCATAAAACTGAGCGTTCTGGAACATTCATACACCAGTGAAACAATAGATTTGTTAAAAAAAGAATATTGTGTAAGCAAGTTAGTATGGCTGCATAAATGTGTTTGAAATCTGATATTTTCATGTCTGAAAAACTGCCCAAAGCAAACACTTGATCACATGAGCTCTTGATGGGCACTTGCAGGGCAGGTTCCACTTGTGTGTGTGTGTGTGTGTGTGTGTGTGTGTGTGTGTGTGTGTGTGTGTGT